GGCTAGGATACAGCACCTGGGGGAAATCAGCACAGAGCATGGAGGGTAGCACCTGCACCAGGGCTGCTCTCACCTCCCCTGCCTGGTCCTGTCGCTCAGGACGCTGTGAGGGTGACTGAGCAGGTTTCCCAGAGAGGTAGTGGAGTCTCCTTCCCTGGAGATATTCAAAACCCGTCTGGATGTGATCCTGGGAAATATGCTCTAGAGGTCCCTGCTTGAGCGGGGAGGTTGGACTAGATGATCTCTAGAGGTCCCTTCCAACCTCAACCACTCTGTGATTCAGCACGCCTTGAGCGTCCCTTGTTTTCTCTACCATCCCTGACTTCTGGCTATTTGTCTCTCTTCCAGCACACACAGCCCGGTGTAGGGGTTGCCCATGTCCTGGGTTGAACTGCCGGAGGAGATGGCATCCTGGCTCCATTCCTCCTTTTTCCCGGTGCAGGACAGCACCACTCGCCTGGCTGTAGAATGCTCAGAGATGGGAGTCGGGTGACTTTTAGGACAAGGCTTGCAGCTCCACCCAGCTCAGGGTATTGCGAAGCATTTATTTACAGAGCAAGGGAGGTCTCTGCCCCCTGGTTCGAGAGAGCAGAGAGGAAGGATGCTGTCTGGCTCTGCCTGAAGGTTTCTAATGGATAGTATCCATTGCCTTTCTCCCAGGACCATTGCTACTACCATGGACATGTCCAAGGGTACCAGAGCTCCTGGGTTGTCCTCAGCACGTGCTCAGGAATAAGGTAGGGAGAGAGCGTGGGACAGGAAGGCTTGCAACAGCAAGTGGGAGACTCCTGGCTGCTGGGTTGCTGTTCTTGTGAGCTGAAGGGAGTGCTTGGCCGTGGGCAGATGGGGGGCTGGGTCTGGCAGCCCTCTCTTTTCCAGTTATCCTCCTCTGATAAATCCCCTGGCACCAAAACTAGCAAGGAAAGTCCTGAAAGTCCAAACAAAGGCGGTGCATCCGACAAGCCTGACTGCATCTCTTCCTCGCATCAGGAACTCTTTGGCACTCAGCAAGCACTAGATGCTGATTTTTCATCGCTTCCCTTCCCCGATACTTCGTGCCGAATCTGGGTGCAGGATGGAGGAACGACAGTGGGATCTGAATCCCGGTTGCCTCCCTTGGGGTCCGTTTTGCCCAGGAGGTCTTCCTCAACAAAGTTTGGGGTCATGGTGAGCCAGGTGGACGGAGACAATCTCCTAGCAATGCTGAGCTCCCTCTGTGTGGCCTGGCTTGGCCTAGAAATCCCATCTCTGAAGACTGCACCCGACCCTGAAGAGGGAAGCCTGCAGGGTTTTAATCACTGAACAAGCTGCAGTTATGGCTCCAGGAGCCTTGTGGCTTCCAGCAAGCAGAGGAAGTGCCTCGGCTGGCTGCTTGCCTGGCATTTCTCTGTGGGATGCTTGGCGTGCGCAGGGTGCTCAATGTAATTCAGCTCTGGAGGTAATCTGGAGGTGGTGAGACCCTGTACCCCACAGTGGATGCCCTGGAACTGAGCTTTGCTGTAAACCAAGAGGCTCTTTTCCTCCTGGTGTCTCACCCACTTTCCAAGGAAGGGTTTCGAAATACCCCAAAGCGGTCCCTTTTGCACTTGCAGGGCTCTGCAGCTGTCCTGGGCTCGTCCTGCTGCGGAACAAGGGCTGCATTTCCCAGCTCAGTGGGGGAAATGGAGAAGGAAAGATGCAGCCACTTTCCAAGCTGATAGAGGCAATGTCACATCCAAGTGATCTTACAAACACAGAGGTTTTCATGCTAAGGGCATACTAGCTCATAGGGTTGTACTCACAGGGGCACCTGTCTCTTTTCGGTGCCCTCACACTGGGTACCAACCAACCTGAGGTGCACTCAGTTCGTGAGGCCTCAGCAAGGGCTAGGGGAGCAGGAGTGAAAGAGCAACAGGACCCATTTGGGGTTTGCTCCCCTCTTCGTTGCCAGGGGCCTGATTGTAGTGAACAGCAATGACAGCTATTACTTGAAGCCCCTGGGAACCCCAGAGCCAGGGCATCACATCATCTACCGAGCAGAGCACTTGCCCATCAGAGGTGGGACCTGTGGCCACGGCGATGACTTCGGCAGCAGCATAGCTGACATTGCCCGCTTCTTCAAGCCAGTGCATTACCGGGTAAATCCCTGGGTCCTTCGCTCGCAGGAGGGACAGAGGGCTGGGAGTGGGTCTCTCCGTGCTCCTGCTGCCTTGGGTGGTATTAGCTCATGTGGGTTGTGCTTGGGCAGATCTCAACAGGGCGCCCTGGGAGATGTGGATGGGGGACGAGTGCTGGATGATAGGATGTGAGAGCCTGTGGATGTGTCTGAATGCAGTGTCCCAGCGAGTCCTGACCAGGCAACTGGCTTTGGAGGTCCATGTCCTGGGATGAGGTTGGGAATTGCACAGCTGCCCAAATTTTCCTTGTCTTCTCGTGCCTCAGTTTCTACCCTTGGCTGTCCTTCCTGGGCAGGACTACTATGTCTGAGGAGCCTAAGATACCTAGTGGCCCATGCCTCTGTGCCCTAGGCTGCCTGCTCCTTCCCTCCTTTGAGCCTTGTTGTCTGTCTTGCAGGCAAAAAGAGATGCCTGGAGGACCATGAAGTACATGGAGCTCTTCATTGTTGCTGATCACACACTGGTGAGCTCCACAGGGGCAGAAACACGGTCCCTTGCAGATACGCCAGGACTCCTCTCTGCCTCCCTCTCTGCTCTTCATCTGGCAACCTCCAGCAGGTTGCTGATAACCGTTGGCAGCATCATTAATGGCTGGACTTTCCAAGTTTTGTGGCTGCAGCACACCTACGATGTCTCTAGCACAGGGCAGGACTCAATGTGGATGTGACCTTGAAGGGGAAAACAGGCCTAGACTGCCTCTAGGCCTCACTGGAGGCTGTGTTTTTCCCAGGGTCACATGAAGTCACACACTGTCACATCCTGATAGCTCTGGGTGTCCTCTCCCTGCTTCCTTCGAGCGTGTGTGAGAGATGCTGCTGTAGCTTAATAGCATTGGCAGCACTGCAAAGTCACTAGTGAAGTGACAGATCTCCAGCAGTTTTGGCTCTTTTATTGCCTAGCATCTGCCAGCACCAGTGCCAACCTCCTTGTCCTCCTCCTTGTCTTTACCACCGGGTGCAGCCTGGCGTGAGGGGGAAGATGGGGTTGAAAGTACCAAAACTGGGTAGCAACCCCTTTCCCTGGGCCCATCTCTTTGCAGTTCAGGAACCAGAATCTTAACCTGGGCCACACCAAGCAGCGCATTGTGGAGATCGCAAACTACGTGGACAAGGTAAGGGCCAGGAAGAGCGACCAGCCTGTCCCTCTTTGTCACCTCTGTCATTCCCAGTGCATGGGAAAACACCTGAGCTCAGAGCCACCCCTTTTGCAATCCTCAGGGACTGTTCCCATGTCACTGATGCTAGGAGTTTAGATCGTGATCATAAGCAGATGGTGGAAAGTGGTTGCCACTCATTAGCTGAGCTGTAGCAGTGAAGCAAGTGCCAGCTCTTTGCCTGGCCCAGGTACATGTCCTGCTGTAACCTCAGTGGCCATGATTAAAATCAGTGTCCTTGACACACAGTTGGGACAGGCTTAGGTGCGCACAGGAGGTGCGTAAGCTGTTGTCGACTAATGGGTGGTAACTTGCTGTGCTGCCGTCACTGGCTCATGAGCCCACAGCTTTGCCTCTAAAGCTCAAGTTTGCAGGTGGATTAGGGACAAGTGTGTCCCGCAGTCATCCAGGGATGAGGATCCATCAGCTAAAACTCTTTCTCACTCGTACTGGATCCTGAAGGCCAGGCACTGCGGTGAGGATGGGGGAGCATAAGGAAGTGCTGTAAATGCAAGTCCCTGTCCCCTTCATCCCTGTCTCCTTCCTGCAGTTTTACAGGTCTCTGAATATCAAGGTGGCCCTGATCGGCCTAGAGGTGTGGACGGAGCGGGACCAGTGCACCGTGACCAGCGATGCCAACGCCTCGCTCTGGTCCTTCCTGCAGTGGAGGAAGGTGCTGAGGTCTCGGAAGAAGCATGACAATGCCCAGCTGCTGACGTGAGCACCCTTGTAGACCTGGGGTCCACAGGGCAGGGAACTCCCAGCCCACTCCGGGGTCTCCTCAGAGCCTGATGTGCCCCCAGGGGTGCTAACTGCCCCGCCGGGGGTGCTGATTGCCTGTTCACTCTCCTTTCCGGTGCACGTCTGGACAGCGGGAAGACGTTCAGGGGGACGACCATCGGCATGGCCCCGCTGGAGGGGATGTGCAGCCCAGATAACTCTGGAGGGGTTAGCATGGTAAGGGAGGCGTGGGGGTCTCTGCTGACCTTCCCAGTTTGGGGACCCCATTGCCATCCTGTCTTGTTTGCTGACATAGAGGATCAGCCATCTTAGGTTGCAGCAAAGATGCTTGTAGTCCCCTTATCCCACTCAGATGTTGGCCGTGCAATTAGAAAGAGGGTGAGAAAGGGCCAGTATAAAGCTCTTCTGCCCATATACACGCCCCAGCTAGCAGCAGCGCTGGGATCTCTTGGACTGGGGATTGTTCCTGGCCCCCCATATGTAATATTTGCTGCTTATTCCCTGCCCATGCCTTCTGGTTTTGCAGGATTATCTCCACCCCAGATAGGTCTTCTCCCCTTCTTCTTACTCCCTTGTAGGGTGACAGCAGCCCTGGTGACCCTGCGGGCTCTGAGCAGTGTAGTGGTGTGGGGTACTGTGGTTTCTGGTCTTCAGGCTGTGTGCCTCCAAGGCCTCAGGGTTTTCAGTAGTTGGCTCCAGCAGAGATGATCTTCCCAGAAATCCCACATTGCCTCTTCTTTTATCCCCTGAGCTCTTCAGGCTTGTTCCTAGCTTGGTCAGGGTCCTGCCCTCCTGCCACCAAGGTGGTTGCAGAGCAAAAACCCTGACAGTTGTCGGGAGCTCCATGTGGGTTTTCAGGGGGCCAAACCCCGCTTCTGCAGTGAGCCCTCCTCCATCCCTTCCTTCCTCCTTCCCACGGGATCCAGCTGTGAACCTGGGGCTGCCATAGTCCCTCCACCTTGCATTTCCCCCCCCCGCTGAGCTCTGTCCCCGCTGCAGAGCGGTCGCCTCTCTCTGCTCCCCGGCTGCCTTTCTGATGCATTCCCCCATCCTTGTGCAGGACCACTCGGAGCAGCCCATTGGAGCAGCTGCCACCATGGCCCATGAAATTGGCCACAATTTCGGCATGAGCCACGACAGCCAGGGCTGCTGCGTGGAGGCCACTCCTGAGCAAGGCGGGTGCGTCATGGCAGCGGCAACTGGGTAAGAGAGGGGACAACGATGGGGACGGGATGCGGGGAGTGTGGCCTCAAGCCCCTGACCAAATTCCAGATGCCTTTCCCGGACGTGCAGCCTGGGGAGCAGAGAGGGAGGACCTGTCCTGCAGATGCTCTTTTGTGTGTCTGGTTCCACATTGCAAAGGGAAAGCTGACTGGTTGCCTTCCTCCCCACTCGCCCTGCATGTCCCACTTCCCCTGAACAGGCACAGGTCAAGGGGAGCAGGCAGTTCTCATCCCTCCCGGGCGAAACATGCAGAGAAAAGATAACAGCATCTCCATGAACTCCTGCCTTACTCAGGAGGAATGAACCAGGCTGGAGGCCTCCAAAGGGCAACAGAGCAGCTAGGAGAGGACAAGGGAGGCCGGGGGAAAGGAGGAAGGCAGCGTTTGGTTTCCAGCACACTGCCTGAGCAGCCCCAGCCCTAGGAAGAGCCGGAGACAGAGGCAAATGGATTTCGTCTGGTTGACACGTTACGTGGCCTGTTTCTTGCCAGCAGCGCTGCTTCTCCGCTTCACTGTTTGTACAGTGGGATATTGTGCAGGTGGACACTGCTGGGGAACACAAGGCCGTTTCCTGTGCTAACCCACACCCTGAAGCAGTGAAGTTATTATTCACTTGTAATACTGGAGGATGAAGAGGTCCCCAGTCCACAGCCAGGATGCGGCTGTGCTGGTGGGGAAGCCAGAGCTAAGCAGGGCTAAGGTGTGATGAGCTCATGGTCCCTAAAGCCAGCCTCACTATGTCCTGATGCAGGATGCTCCAGATTAGCAGTAATTAACTTTCATGCGCTCCAGCGTCCTACCTCCATTTGCTTTTCTTTGCTTTTACCCCTTAATTCAGCTCAGAGCTGTATGAAATTAATCTAATTGGTGCCACTTCCCCTTTCAAGGCCGTTTCCCCATCAGGTTTTCCAGCTCCTAACAATACAGTTGTCCTAGATTTCCCTGCATTGCAGAAGAGCAGCGATTTATTCCCTGTTCTTTGAACCCACCTGGTCTATGAGTTAATAAATAACGGTCCAAAAAATCACAGTGCTGTTTCACTTTAGGGAACTGCCCGGCCAGCTCCAGAGTGAGTCTAATTGGTACCTGATCTGTTCTCTGTGACAGATTTGGGTCTTATGGCTGTTAAAAGAGGTTTTATTCTCTTTTTAGGTGGCTTCTGATGGGGAAAAGTGCCTGCTTTCCAGGAAGACGTAGCTATGTTTTTGTTTAGTTGGGTATGGAAAACCTGAGTTTTCCTGCCCCCGTCTATTTGAGTTGGATACCCTGGAACAAAGCAGTATACCAGATGCTGTAATTCAGCTGTGCTGTGCCCCTGCTCACCTCTGTAGACAAAGCCTTCTGGCTAGATGTCTTTCTGCAATGCCTTGTTCCTCCTCCTGAAGATGACGAACCCTGCAGGGTGATGGGAGGTGCCACCTGGCCCAAGAGACTGGCCGAGGAAAAGAAGTGGCACGTGAATAGCAGGTCCCCGAGGAAGCCCCACTCCCTTTTCAAATGGATAATGTGCTTTTCAGTCCAAATATTTCTTTAAAAATTGTTTTTTGAAATGTTTTTTCCCCACAAGGGTGGGAAACATATTTTTGACTCTGTAGACTGTCCCTATTTGCATGTTCATGTCCCAGTTTGTGGGACTTTACTTACTCACCCTCCAATGATTTGTTTGGACCTGCAGTTTTTCCTACAGCTCAAGAGATTGCCCCCAGACTTCAGAGTTACTTCAGAAAAAGCCCTCTCGTTTATGTCAGAAATGGGATGTCCTAATTTCAAAGAAAAATTTTTTCAGCAATATGAGGAAATGAGAATAACACTGAAACAGAGAGCAATGCATACGTTTTTACTGTCTGCTTCCTCCTTTTTAATGCATCATGCAAAGAGCCTAACAAACTTATGCAAAATTAAGGAAGAACCATTCTCAGTTTCTCAAAAAAAAAAAAAATCACCAGTTTCTGTCCAGCTGCTTAGATGAAAGGTCAGTTGGGCTGTTAGAAACATGGCCGTATATGCAGTGTGTGCTGATTTTTATTGCTACTCAAGCCTTGTTGATTATTTAATACAGCCTTTTCTTTGTATTTTTCTTTTTTTCTTTAATTTTTTGAAGGATTTTCTCTGTCTCAGCGTCAGCAGTTTTTAAGTTATCCCAAATGGGTATTTCCTATCACCAGTTCAGTGATAACAGATATGTATTTAGCAGACACCCTGGCAAATAGTCCCTGTAACGTAGAACCTGACTTTCTGGTTAGGGTGGAGGGAGTCTGCAGCATCCTGAGCACAGAGGATCGAGGCACAGAGGTGATGCCTGCACCAGTGACCCCCGCACTGAACCGGCAGAGTCTGCAGGTGCCTGTAATCCCTGGAGGGCACATCCAGACCATCGGGGACTGTGTGCGTGGGTCTGCAGGCGTGGGTGTTTCCCTGCTGGGAAAAGAGCGGCCTTACACTCATCTTTGGCTCGGGGCTGCAACTGTAAGGAGGACGCCAGGTCCATGTTGCAGATCCTCAGTGCCACGGGTACCTAATCTCATGGCTCTCCATAAAATGATATACCTAAGCCCATAGGAAGACCAACATGCTGATCTTCACGTATCCATATTTTTCCTAGTAAAAGATCTTTGAAAGAGAAAACGATGGCAGTTTGTGTTTTCCTCATGGGAAAAGCCCTGTTTTCCAGTAACGACACGTTTGGAGCTGTACCTGCAGCTGCAGTTTGAATGGCTCCAACATTCACGCCTTTGGGGTTCAGACCATGGGGGTCTCCAAGAAGTTTCTTGCTGGACGTCTCATGCTCTGTGGGGTGGCATATAGCAGCTCTGCTTGCCCAACTGATTTCTTTCTGGAAAATGCTTGGATGAAGTGTAGTTTTCCCTGGTTGTTACTGTCTGATGTTTGGCTGTGTGGGTTTGGGGATGTTAGCAGCATCGATGCATCTGGCTGATGATGGCTTCTAGTCTGGCATTTGGAAGGGTTTGTGCTAGTTTTCCCCCATGTCCTTATTTCCAAGCTCTACTTGTGATTTTCCGTCTTTTCCTAGTCCCAGTTGCCCTGGTTCCCATCTCTCCCCATCTGTCTCCTGCACAGACATCCCTTCCCTCGCGTGTTCAGCTCCTGCAGCAAGAGGCAGCTGGAGAACTACTTCCAGAAGGGAGGTGGCATGTGTCTCTTCAACTTGCCTGACACCAAGGACTTGGTGGTTGGCCGGAAATGTGGCAATGGCTTTCTGGAAGATGGAGAAGACTGTGACTGCGGGGAGGTGGAGGTATGGTCCTAGGCACTGCATCTCTCTTCTGAAGAGGCTTTTGCAGCTCATCTCTCAGATGCTTGCAGAGAGCTGGGCAGGTGGGAGGAGGGCATCCCATGTGGAGGGGTGTATTTCCAACAGGAATGGGTTCGCTGGTCATGGAACTTCGGGGGAGTCCACCCTGGGGACTCCATCCCAAGGGCCCTTTCCAGTCCCGCATTCCTGAATCCCATTAACCTGGGCCTGGCTCTTCTCTTGACTTTGGCCTGAGTGCTCAGTTCTTCCTCGTTCTCCCTTGCCTTAGTTTCCACGTTGGTAAATGAGGAGACCAATGCACTCAGTGAAGAAGTCGGAGGGAATAGCGGGGCTTGGTTGGGCAAGGGAAAAGGACAGACTCACTGACCATAGTGGTGTCTTTTCTCCATGCAGGAGTGCACCAACCCGTGCTGCAATGCGCACAACTGCACGCTGAAGGTGGGGGCCCAGTGTGCCCACGGTGACTGCTGCCAGAACTGCAGGGTAACCCACACTGCCTTTCCCCGCGTGCCCAGCCACCTGCGGGGCGCAGGTTCCTGGGGCCGAGGAGGGGCATATGGCCCCCGTCGTTCTCCTGGGACGCACACTGTACATGTCCCTGCTCAGGCCCCGAGTTCAGCACCCCTAGGGCCAAATGGGAAGGGTTGTCCATGAACGCACATCCTCCAGGGATTCTCCGCTGGCTGCTCCTGTGGCTGGCGTCCAGCCCCAGGGATCTGGCTTGATATAGGGATCTGCCTTGAGAGTCCCTTCTAGTCCCATAGAGGACTATATTAATAGCTTCTAACCCTGGGCTGTGCCGGGAGTGTCAGTCCCGGCTTGGCATGTGTACTGCCATTCAGTACTGATATTTCTCTCTCCTCCTCGGTAGCTAAAGGTGGCTGGGACCATCTGCAGGGAAGCAGCAGGGTCTTGTGACCTCCCCGAGTACTGCACGGGTGCCTCACCTTACTGTCCGGCCAATGTCTACCTGCTGGACGGCTCCTCCTGTGCCTATGGCGAGGCCTACTGCAACAACGGCATGTGCATGACCCACCACCAGCAATGCGTCCAGCTCTGGGGACCGGGTAAGCTTGCTGGACCCCAAGCCCTGCCTCCTTGCAGCCCTTCCCTGGAGCAAGAGCCACGTCGGGTCTCAACGCTGCGTCTGTGCTTGGGAAAGGGCCTAGGTACTCGTGCCTGCTGCCGATGGGGCTGGAGTGTGGTGGATGGATGGTGTGTGCTGCCCCATCCGGGGCTGGGAGTATGTGAGGCTGGCGCAGGAGGGCTGGCAGGGCTGTGGGCACGGTGCACGCACGCTTGCAGGTGGCTGATCGTGCACTGTGCATAGCCCATCCACATGCCATGATGGCGTCCCGCTGCATATAGCCCATAGGCTGCATATGGCCTCCATGCTGCATACAGCACATGTGCTACAAATGACTCCAATGCTGCGTATGGTCCCCATGCTGCATGTGGCCCGTAGGTGATATGGTTCTTGTGCTGCGTATGGCCCCCATGCTACATAGGGCTACGGGCAGTGTATGCTCATATACTGCATACGGCTTGCGTACGCACTGCACAATCCCCATGTACATGTGCTTGACACCCTGCCCGCACCCCATGTATACACAACCCCAGCTGCTCACACCGCATAAGAGTGCGCACAGCTCTCCCGGTCCCCATTTGCGCAGCGATGCTGCCACCTCCTGGGGCCAGCACTGCGCTGTCCCCCTCTGCAGGGGAGCTGCAGTAGGCAGCTGGAGGGAAACCCTCCCCCAAGGCTGAAATCCTCCACAAGCCCCCAGAGCAAAAAGGGTTTCACCCCTGTTGTGCTGTTCTTAGCCTAGCACTCACAGCAGCAGCACTCCATTGTACGGTATTTTCTGCATAAGCTTCCAAACACTGTTACCAGTTTCGGTATTTCTCCCCTCTCCCTCCTGGCTGCTTTTCTGGGCCACTGATTATGCTGGATCTTTTGTTCCTCCTGGCAGGTGCCTGGCCAGCCCCTGATGCCTGTTTCCAGGACGTGAACATGGCAGGCAATACCTATGGCAACTGCGGCAAAGACAGCCAAGGGCGCTACGTGAAGTGTGAAAAGAGGTGCGTGCAAAACAGATGCCCACAGGTGCCCTGTCTCCTCCTCCTGCACCCACAGCCCCCTAGTGCTTACCCCCTCACCGGGGATGCTAGGACTGTACCCCAGGGTCTTAGCTACAAGCCTTGGGCCAGCTCCCTTTTGAACCTGAGAAAGCTGCCAGCTCTTTCCTGGGCTCAGTCTTCATCACTGCTGGGAGTTTGGTCCGCCAAGCATCACCTCGCACCCCAGCCGAAAAGGCAAATCAACAAGGACAGTGGCAGTAGGAGACACTAATTTAGGGAATGCATCAGCAGTCTTTTCCCCTGTGCTCCTCAGCATCCACTGGGCTGTTAGAGGGGACATCTCTGCCTGTTCCCTTCAGCATCTCTCTATGCTGTCCATGAATTTATCAAAGCCCTTTCTGAACCAGCTGAGACTCTGCCATCACAATCTCCCGTGGCGAAAAAATTCAGAGAAAGGTGAGCCAGCAGGCACAGGGGCATGGGATGACGAGGTGTCGAGTGTGCAGTGCCCTTTAGCGGTGTGCCATGAAGCCAGGAACAGCTTTCCTGGGGCCATATGGCATGTGTAAGACAAGGCGTCAGCCACCTGGGATGGGGCTGGGGTACCAGGAGCCTTGCTTTAAGACACAGCTCCACGTGCCCGCTGCCCACATCTCCTACCCCATCTCCTGCCCTCACCTCGACTCTGTGGGAAGGAGCAGGATGCAGTGGGCAGGCCCCATCCCTCATGACTGCGCCTCTCCTCCTAGAGATGCTATGTGTGGCAAGATCCAGTGCCAGAGCTCGGCCAAGAAACCCCAGGGGACCAACACAGTCTCCATCGATACCACCATCCGGTTTAACGGGCGAGAAGTGAAGTGCCGGGGCACGTACATGTACACTGCAAAGGATGATGAGGAAGACCTCTCAGACCCTGGGCTGGTGATGACAGGGACGAAATGTGGAGATGGGATGGTGAGTACCTCTTCCTAGGTTTGGGGTCTGAGGATGGGCTGGCAGCGCTGGGAAGATCAGCTCCTCAGCCTCTTGTCCCAGGTCCAGCTTCATCGTGTGACAGCAGGGCCACAGGAAGTGGTTCTACCCAAATTTGCAGATATCCCCAAAATCAGAAGTCTCTGCTGGTAGGAGAAGTGTTGGTGGAGAAAGTCTTTGGCTCAGTCTTTGGCAATGACAGTACAAACCACTGATTTACCACTTTAGCAGGGAAACAAGAAACAACAATTACAAATAATATCAATTCTGATCAGATGCAAGCAATTTTCTTCCTTTTCAACTGAAATTAAATGCCCTGTGAGTTTCATCTTGTTCTCTGGACTGTTTTCTTGGGTATATTTCCCCTCGGGCGTGGGTAGGAAAGGCAAAGGAGATGACATCCTTGTTTCCCAAAGGTGGAGGGATGCAGCAGGTCCCTGGGGAAGGAGCAGCACCTGGAGTGCAGGAACCCATGTTCAGTTCCCTCTTCTATCTTGGGAGATGAACCCTCACGAGGAGTTCTCAGATGGGGTGTTTCTACATGGCAACAGATGCCTGTGTGTGGGTAACTGAATCCCTCTTTTTTTCCCCAGTGTTTATTTAGCTATTTAATGCAAAGTAGAGTAACCCCAGCAAGATGAGGTGCCTGCCTCAGGACTTGACAGATGACGCTTCCTCTTGGGAAGATGGGTTGGTGAGGCCCACAAGCAGAGAAGAGGCCTGTGTGCCCTCAGGCAGGCTGTATTCTCTAACCTAAGCTGGGATGAACAGGGATGCTACAGCTGTGGTGGGCTTGTAGGTCGAGGTCCAAAATGTTTCTCTTGTATATAAACTTACTGGCAAATTCCAGGCAATTTGTCAATGAATGAACAGTTTTCTAAGGGAAAATTGTGTTAGGAATCAAGAGGATTGATCCAAGTAGATGCTGCTAGCTAAGCATTAGTCTCTTTTACAGTCCCTGCATCCCTCAATATTTTGAGAGGGATCGGCTCATCTGAGAAACGGTGGAGGCTTTGTAGATGACATGGTAGCAGGGATGCAGGCCAGACAGAATTGGCTAGGGAGATAGGGTCTTTGCTGTTTGGCATTTTAATTGGGAAATTTTCATCCCACTTTAGGATGAAAGGCCAAAACATTGACATTTTCATGAGAAAGGATGCCCGTTTTTGAAGAGCCAAAGTAGGCTTTTTCAGATTCTGCCCACCTTTTAGGGGCAGATGGGAAATGCTGTCTCCAGGAGCTGCCAGGTGGGTTGTCAGGGGAGGGAGGTGGGAGATGTGTTGGCTGTTTTCTGGAGGACTGGCATGGACTGAGGATGGCCGAGGTTTCCTGGAGCGTACTGAAAATTGGAGTGAAATCAGTGCCTTGGTTTGGAATAATACGGTTTAACCGACCTGCATTTTCCAGTGGACAGTGTCATTTTAGAAGACTCCTATCTATGAAGCCAGAAGATCGCTGTTCCCTGTCTCTGGGCCTTTCTCTAATCTTGGCTTCTTGGCACTCTCTCAGGTTTGCAAAGATCGTCGGTGCCAGAATGCCTCTCTTTTTGAGCTGGAAAAGTGTGTTTCCCAGTGCAACGGCCATGGGGTGAGTTACTGTCTGAGACCTACAGCAGGGTCCTGAGATGAGCTCAGATTCTTAAGCAAAACCAAACATCTCCCACAGGGATGAGTCTTGCAATGCAGCAAGCACCTGTTCTTCATAACTATCACATTCATGTGAGCTCTGGGTGAGACTGAGCTGAGATTTCTGCTATCTGTGTCCAAGTTAGATGAAGAAGATCATCCTTGATGTAAGGACCATCTGCAAAATTTGAATCGGTATTTTCTCTGAACTGGAGAGTGTTCAGAGCTCAGAGCAGGTGCCTGTTCCCTCTGAGAGCAAAGCAATAGTCAGAAACACTACTGAGACTGCAGTAAAACAGGGAAGTGGTTCACAGGCTAGAAGGAGCCACTATTGTCCAAAGCTTAAAGTCTACAAAGATTTGACCTCTACCAGCAAGGTTTCCTTAGGTCGTGAACCTAGGCTTTGTCATATAAGGCAACAACAAACTGCTGCAGAAAATCACCGTGGGATTATATATAAGGTCCTAGGCAGGTCACCTAAATTAATCCTTTCATTCTGCTCAGCATTGTTAAGGCTTCAGGTTTGCGTTCTCTGCTTTATGAAAGGCATAGATCCCTGGGAAACACTCCAAGGGAAAGACCCAGTGTCTAACAAACTTCTGGCCTCCCAAGCAGTATTCAGGATATTGGGCTTGTTTAGTCAAGTGGTGTGAAAACTGAGCGTATAAGATACTTGTCTTTAAAGGTTTCTGCAAAGAGCAGGGAAATAAATGTCAGCAAAAAAATGTCTCCATACATTGCAATTCTAGCTCTGAAGGCAACACAGATATGATCCAAGTGATGTTCAAGGGATGGATGTGGGCAGGGATTAAGCTCCTTATGCCTCTCCAGCCTAGATTCCTCCTGTTGGCCATCTGATCTCATCCTCACTGTATGAATTACCGTTTCCATACGTTCCATTGCCCTTTATGGTCTCCAACCCTTCTTTTCCCATAGGTCTGCAACAGCAACAAGAACTGCCACTGCAATGCTGGCTGGGCTCCCCCGTACTGCGAGAAGCCAGGCTTGGGTGGCAGCGTGGACAGTGGCCCTGTGCAGCGTGACAGTGAGTCCTGACTTCTCCTCAGCATGATGCAAGTGGCCAAGGTGGTTGGGGGAGCGCCCAGTGCCTTGTGACTCTGGTAGTCTGGAGCAATGCCACAAAGACAGGGAGATGGAGCGATAATGCTGTCAGCCCAGCTCCAGTCATTTGGTGGCTACCCATTGGTATCAGAGGCTTCCAGACAGAGCTGTTTACTTCCCTTTTTTTGAAGGTGTGCTCAGCAGTGATATCTCTAGCCTAGGTGGCCAGGAGCAGGCAGAAGGGATTGCTATTTGCACTGAGTTGCACTGCAGAGCTGAGCCATGCTCTGAAGTTAGCCACTGCTGAGGCAAACACTCAGGCTAACAGCTCTCCCAGCCCTGTTCATCTTTGTGCTTTCCCTGCTAGATCATGAAGCCATCCTAATCACCCTTCTGCTGATCTTCCTGCTCTTCCTCCCGGCCCTGGTGATGAGCATCTACTTTTGGTACCGACGGGAGAACTCGCTCTTGAATAAATGGATAAAGGAGATGAGGAGGAGCCACGAGACGTACAAGTGAGTGACGCATCCTGAATCCCTCCTCTCTTGAGGACCCAGTGAGGCCCTGAAACCTTTTTTTTTTTGCCACTGGCAGAGTGCAGCTTGGTAGAAGTGGTTGTGGAGAAATGGGTGCGCAGGGCCTATTTCAATCTAGTGTGAACTCAGAGAAGTTAGAGACACAGCATAGTTAGCTCTCCATCGTCTGGGGTCGTGAGATACTTGGGAGAAATGCAAGGTCTTACAGTGTCCACATCTGGCTTCTGGAAGCTGTCAGGGGATCCCATTCTTCTGGTAGCTCCAGTCCTCAGAGGAGGTATTAACAAAGCGAGTCAGCTCAGGGCCAGGTTAGAAGTCCATCTGTGCTCCCATGGTGCCACAGCAAAGCTGCAAAGCCCTCCTTGGACAAAAATATGGAAGAACACAGTGCAAGGACCCCATGCTGTTTGAGGATGGCAGGACATGTTACCTTGAACCCCGAGCTGTCTAACTGCAATGGAAGGGCAGCTGGTCTCAGCTGGCTTCATGCACTTGTGCATACAAGCCAGTATGTGTCCATCCTGGGTCTAATCCGCTGGTTAACCTGTAAAGCAAACGTTTCACTACCCTGCAAATGGTGAATTGGGACAACAGTTAATTGGATTTGAGATCAGGGCAGCTGTAGCTGTTCAGTCCTTTGCAAGCATCCTTTTCAAGCTTGCAAGGAATGAGTCCTGGTCCATGGGACATGATGCAGACTGGCTTGTGTCTACGGTGTCTGGAGCCACAGGCTCTGGTGTGAATCTTGCCCTGTTTTGCTTCTGGGTTTCCTTGTCAAGGAAAAAATAGGGTCACATCCTAGCACAAACGATTCTGACAGCATTGGTTCACTTTCTGACATTCTGAGTGTGTATGGAGGAGCTTAGGCAAGGTTTGAGATCAAAAGAGCTTTTCCCAAGGATGGTCTGAAGCTTTCAGCTCCTTCACAAGCAGAGGACAGGAATAATCTATCAGGGATAGCATGACCCCAGAGAGTGATGAGGAAGGTGGCCTGGTACTGAGGAGCCAGCTTGCCATCTGTTCCTAGCAGACTGCAAGAGCTGGAATAGCTCTAAATGAGCTCTGCATTTAGATATTCTCATTATTTCCTTCCTCCCACCCCTTATTTGCCCAGCACAGGTGCAGACACATGTATCTCAGAGTCCCTGCAAGCATTTGAGAAAAAAGCTCAAAACCAAATAAGCTTCCTCTTTTTATATCACAGGCAACTTCAAAAATGCCACCGTACCCTCATTATTTCCTGCAGACTCATAGCTCTCACTAACCTAGCACTGGAAGACATCTGCCTGTCCATTAATGGAGACAAGATATCTCTGATGTGCCTCTCTTGGGAGGCAGCTGTGGCAGAGATGGTTGCTTTATTTTATCGTTGGTAATTTATGTTTGTGATCCTGGGCAGGAGCAAAACCATCAATCGGAAGGTAACCAGTGGCCCTTCCAAAGCTGCTTTCACCTTACGGGACATTTCCATCTCCTGCCACACTAATAAAGTAAGTAATAACTCACCTTCCAGATTTGTTTTCTTCCTTGTGGACTGATAATTGTGGGTGATCTCATCTCTCTCTAGCCACTGAGCTAGCAACTGGTACTCCATGCTGCTTTGCATGTGTTTCTGCAAAGTCTCTATGAAAGAGACTTTCAGACCGGGTGGCTGAGGGTCACCACACCTGTGACTGCAGCTCGGAGACAAAAACTGCTTTGCTGGTGGCTTTCGGGGTGACTGAGGTTCAGAAGCTGCAGACTGGGGATAAGGATCTCTCCGTTCTGTGTGTCTGTATGGTGGTACCAAGCCCCAGCCAGCTGTGTACCTCTCCTATGATGTGCAGGATTTGGTTGTTCAGCCAACATTTTGGTCAAAGGATGCCTCTTCACCTGGATTTCCTTAGGGTTGTGACTGCAGGGGTGTATTCTGCCTGGCGTTACACAGAGCTGAGCCTAGCAAAAGTACACAGGAGTCAGGGGTGTAAAGTCAGTACTGCTGAGTTAAGGTGTGAGTTCACAGTGCACCATTTGCTTTGCTCTTGTTCCGCAGTGCAAACACTGCTGCTGTGCCCTGAGTATGAACGAGACGTAGCGCAAACTGGCATGGGCAGCCCTGACCCCAAGCTGGGTTTCAGAGGTGGCGCTGCTGAGTAGGGTGCAGTGCTGGGCCTGGACGACCAACTTCTCCGAGTCAGGATCTGGGCAGTATTGATGCCTACTGTGCTGCCTCCAGGCTCTGAGCTGGGATGTGTTGTGCAGACCTGCCAGCTCAAACAGGGTCCCAGCGTGGCTGTGCATGTGCAGTGAGGCCATACCCCCGAGTTTGCCCACCTGTGGAAGGAAGGCTCCTAGCCATTTGTAATGTAGAACAAATAAAAGCTGTGCGCTCCCAAATGAAATGCAAAGCCTCTTGCAGTGCCCCCTTTAGCTGTGTGCCCTTGGGCTGTAGTATACATCCTGGCACATTCCCTGCCAAAAGGGAATCATCTGAGCTCTACCTGCTCGGAAGGACCCCGGTGAAGGCCAGGTTTCACCTCTGCCAGGAGCTTCCACAGGGAGATTTCCACGTCACCATGGCAAAGCTTAGCAGGGGCTCTGCGATCCTACTGAAAGCTTTTCGCTGAGTCTCCAGGAAGGCAGATGGTTTGCTGTTGGTTGTTATAGCTCTTGCAAATTTGGGAGAGATACTCGGAGAACAGAATTCAGGAAGACAGAGCAATGGTTTTTTTTGAGCCTGGCCACAGTGGCTGAGAGCAGGGTGGAAAGGATGATTTCTCCCATCTCAGCAACTGGAAATCTGGGATGGATTTACCAGAGCTGTCCCTGCTCTAGGTTTCCTGAGCCCTACCCTGGCACCTTGCTCCTCTCCATGTGCTCTCTGTGTTCACTTTGGGGCAGGATGGTGAAAGGTCAGTGCCAGGAAGTGGAATAAGTACCCTGTCCTCCTCCTGTGACTCCCTAGTAACCAGACCACGAGGGGACTTCTGCTTTCCAGCAACCAGGAAAACCAGTTAATGTTTTTTCTCCATGTTTTTGCTTTTCTTGTCCCTGCAGGCAATGCGGACTGCGTTCCCCCACAAACCCAGGGCTCACCAGAACGGCTCCCAGCCCGTCAACATTGTCCACCCGCTTCGCCCAGCTCCCCACTCCATGCCTCAGCCTCTGAGAGACCACAAGCCTGCTAGGCCACCTCCACCAGTCAGCAGATCACCTGCTGTCCCCACCAAAACAGTGGTGTCTCATGCTAAACTGCCACCTCCGAAGAAACCTCTTCCTTGCAGTCCCGTGAGGACCCCACTGGTGAGTTTTGCTGGCTGGCCATGTTTCCCCACAGAGCTTGGAAGAATTCCCTGGTTTTGGCTGCCACCCAGAACAGCTTGCCACAAATTCAGATGTTTAATTGCACAATTAAACATCCAGCCCAGCACAGCTTGACTCTTGGTACTCAGACACCCCACATAAAAGCAGAGAGTGCTCGGGCCTGTCTTTGATGTTTTGTTTTAGCTCTGGCACCAGAAGCTTAGATTTTCCTTCCAGATGTCCTGGATGGGATCCTTTTAGATGACACCGTTTGGTGGCTCATGGCCCTACAGTGCTGAGGCTTGTGTGTGTGCAGAAAGTGTGCATCCCATCCCCGTCTTGCCTCTGGGAACCTCAGAGACGTGGGCACCTGTGACTCTTCTGTGGAGTTACTGGACACTATTAAGGAGCTGTCACGCCACCGAAAGAGACAAGTCTGTTGCAATGGTGAAGAAAATCCAGTAGATAATGAGTGTTTTAAGGTAGTTTGGTTATTGGCACCATGTTGTTTTGTGTTTTGAGGCATTTCAGCTCTGTGACAGGAGAGAGAGAGAGTTATAGGAGATTATTGGAAGTTGAAGGATGTTGTCTCTCCCTATGCACTTTTTGATCTCAGGTTGTCCCAAAGCACCAGCCACCCTGTCGACCGCTGCCTGGAAGTCCACTCTTGGCCAAAGAGCTGTCTCCTGCACATGGACAGACCCTGCTGGTCATGGTCCCTCCTACCAACTTCAGGTCATCGGGTACAAGCACCACTAGCCGCTGCACGAGGCCGTTCAAGTAAGTTGAGAGGAGGAGCTGAGCTGCCTCCCACCAGGGTCCTGCAGGCAGGCAGTGTGGGGGGTGTTGTGGGTCACATCTCAGGGGTCATTCCAAATGTCATCTGGATGCAGAGTGCAGTGCACTCTGGTCTGCCCCTTGTTCCCTTGCCCTGTGGTGTCTGCAGGGTAACCTGGATTTCTCCTGCTCTTACCTGACGTAGCTAATGTGTCCGGGCTGGGCTGTTGAGGAACAAGAGGAATAGTCTGGGCTCTGGGGTGTGCAGGTCTGTGCCCTACTGCCTGGGCTACAAAGGACTTCAAAGTCCACCAAGTCTGAGAGAACTGGGAAAAAGGCCTTTAAGGTTTTGGGGGTCCTTGCATGCAGGTTTAGGGTAGTCACCTATGTCAGGGGGCTGCGGTAACGTGACCAAGGTCAGGTAATGGTCTTCAGGGCTTGCGGAGTCCTGTGGGCTTAAGGGAGGTGCCACCTTTCAGCGGGCGCGTGGAGTCTCCCCACCCAGAGCGGGAGGGGGCTGTTGGCAAGTTGTTGGGGACAAATGAGTGAAGGGATGGCTGGTGACACTCTGTTTGTCTTTGCTTCCTACAGGCCAATGCCGCCTCAAAGGTGAGTCCCAAACACCAGGCAGGACAATGCCTTTACTGGGAATGGAATTGCTTGTGAGGGAATGGCCTCTGGTTAAACACTAGCCTAGGACTAGTGTTGTTTATTTCTGCTACCTGGAAATAAGGGAAGTAAGAAAGTATAGGTTTAGATTTGAAGCCTAGCACCAAAGCAGTCCAAGTTGAGTAGGTTGCCTGCGTGATGCTGGAGTGACCTGAAACAGCCCCAGGTTGCATCTCCTCTGATCTCAGGGATAACAGGTGATCTGCTCTCCTTGAGCTGTGGAAGGATGATTGTAGTGCAGATGGTGGATGCCTGGTCTCTCTGCTCTCCTTATAATGAGTTGTTTTCTTGTTCTTTTTGTGCCTAGGCCGGTCCCAACCATCAAAGTTCAATCAACCTCGTTCCCCTTGAAGAAATGACAAACCAAGGACACCTTAAGCCCATCCTTCCTGAGCTGGCTCTCCTGATTTGCACTGCTGCTGGCACCAGGGTTCTTTTGTTCCTCTCTTGTTTTGTATTTTAATACCAGAGGACTATTTTTATAAGACAGTATGTTTATTCAGCACAAAAGCAATAGTAGGGGGATAGGGAGGGACTGAGAGGAGAAATTGGTACTATGATGTAACTAAGGGTTGAGATGGACTGGTGGTGGGGTTACCATGTTGGAGACTCCACCACCACTCCTGGCATTGCTTTCCTGCCAATTTATCTGCCAGCCTTGGTTTCTTACTGATGTTGCACATGAGCTGGGATGGGGTGACTTGGGGTCAAAAGTAAGCATCCACACTGATGAAAAATGCTGAGGACAGTGCCAGCGGAAGCTGTGTAATATCGTTCTAGCTACCTCCTCCTTCTCCTCTAGTCCTGGTGGGACCCTCCACCACCCATTGCCACCAGAGTTCAATGCTGGGCCTTGTTTCCAGAGCCATTTGCAATGAGAGAAAAGAAGTGGTTTCCAGTTTGAACTGTGCTAGGCAGTGCTGGGACTTTTGCATGATGAACCAAGTTCTCAGATGCTTCCCGGCCTTCTTTCTGACTGAAAAAAAAAAAAAAAAGAAAACAGTGACAATCCTGGGACTGTACTTGCAAGGAGCAGCCATCCGGGAAATGGTTTAATGTCTGCGCTGCTGGTGGTCGCTGGTTACCAGGGTGCTTTCGAGGGGCTCAGGAGCCCTCCAAAAACATTGCAAGTCTCCTGCTCATGGGACAAGCCCAGCGGTGGCTTTGTGAGCTGCTAACACTCTGCTGTCCAAAAGGAGAAGGAGCCACAAGCCAGGAACAAGAGCAGGAAGACCTTTTGCCTATGCCGTTGGCTTTCCTAATGGCCTTGACCAAGTCATTACATTTCTCTGTGCCTCAGTTCCCCCGTCTGTAAAATGGGGGGTAATACCTACCTCACAGGGGTGTTGTGAGGTTTAACAAACTGATGTCTTGAAAGGGCTTTACAATCCTCAGATCAAAGGTGCTGTTGACCTGCACAGTACTACATCGTGCCACTTTCCTATGACTTGACATGTGGCTCTGTCAGGGTCTGAAATGAGAACAATGGCTTTGTACAGTCTTCCGGCTCCTCTGGCTGTTTTATTGCTCAGAAGTTCTGATAGCCTTTAGACACCAAGAACTCCAGGTCTTCCACTATGGCAGTGTAAACAGACATCTCGGAAGCCCCTTCTGTTAGCCCTTGAACCTGGGTTCATTCGGTCCCACAGTGTGTAACACGTCAGCTACCCTGGGTTAGAAAGATTTGTCCTAGGTCAAATGGGATCTGAGACATGTCCAACCCATGTAAAGTTGCTTGTGATGTCGGCTTAGGGATGAACCTCAGGAAACTGTGCTGGTGTTTCATTATCACCAGTGCTACAAAAGAAGCACGTTATGGGATGGGGTTCAAATCTCTGCAAAGTACTACTCTGGTGGCTCTCACTGGCTGAACAGGAATTGGGATGGGGAGATGAGGCTGTTCCACCAGTCAAAAAGGACTCCTTAAATCTTCTTAGCAGCCTTCCAGAGGACAGAGTAAATGAACAGGTCCCTAAAACTTTACGGGATCCTCTTCTTTTCTACGACCTGCCAAAGACTTCTGAGCCTGGTCAGACTTGGGTAAGAGCCTACAGAGCTGCTGGAGAAGGGAGACTGTGCTCCCTGCTTATGGACGTCCTTCCTTCTATTGTCTGGTATTGGCGTTAGCAGAGGGTTGAACAGTTGGAGAGGGTTTGGAGAAGACACCACAGTGATGAAGGGGCTGGAAAATCTGTTTTCGAGGAGTTGGTTCATTTCGTTTAATAAGAACAACATGAGGGATGACGATGCCACAATCAGAAAGTGTCTTACATTTGGGGCCAGTGATCACATCAAATGATCACATCAAGCTGATGCTATTTCCCTTGGGTTGGATTCCTGCCCATTAATGTCACATATCTGACTATCATGCTCCCCTTTCCCTTCTCCTGTTGTGGATGGGGACAGATAGGGATTTACCCACCTAGAAGGTTTGAATTTTCATCTAGAGGTACCCAACCTTCTCCAGTGGTGCAGAGCCAGGACATGTACATTAGGTGGGCTAGATGTAGCCATTTAGTCTAGAAAGGAGTTAATGGAAGTGCCCATTTCTGGTCTCAGGGATCCTGCTAGGTCATACAGATCTAGAACTCTACTCAGCAGCATAGTAAGTACTGAGCAATGATGCTTTCACCCTTCTCAGAAGATCCTTTCTCTTCCTGGGAGATGTCCTTGCATGGACCTGTGGAATTGTTTGGGGCAGAAAAGCTGTGCCATGGTGTGGAATAACCAGTCACATGCTCTGTTCCCCAGAACCATTAGTGCTGAGTACAGCCCTCTCGGGGCACGTCCATGTGAATGGACCAACCCAGATCCTCTGGCCTTGAGCTGCAAGCCAGCTCCCGTCTCAGAGCAGAGGTGCAAGGGATAGTCATTTAGGGACAGCACACAACTGTCTGTTTCCTGGCTCTGGCTGGCTGGACGTGGCTACAGGGAATGCAGGGGGAAAAAGTCCATCCTGATGCTCCCACACATGTAAGATGTGGCCTGTGGTCCGTGGGTCAGGCAGGACCTCGGGCCTGGTTAGTGAAATTCATGAATCCAGGGAAGGCTTTTGAGTGTTCAGTTAACACTAGATGGCAGCAGATGACCGTGAAAGCCTGTATTCATCCTTACCTCTGAATTGCTGCTGGGTTTTTCCAGGGACCAGATCCTCAAGTGTAGCTTTCCTTCTTGCTCTTTCCTTGCCTGCCTCAGCATCTGCAGACCCATTGCAAGTGTGAGCTTGGCATGTAAGCTGCTGAGTTCCTGTGATGGCTAGCTGAGCTTGAAGTTTGCTCAAGTGAAGTTTTCCCCTTGGTAAAGGGGTCACGTGGTTTGGGTACCTTTGGAAAATCATGGTGGAGAATTAAAAATCACAGCCCTTCCTTGTGTCATGTCCTCAACATCAAAGGCACCTTCTTGGTTAATGGAGTGTGTGCTCTGGGAAAGGGAAAGGGGAAGGCTCCTGCAGTGTTGGTTCTGGCTTAGTCATTTCCCTGAAAACCTGGGGCCACTGAGACGTGCAGCACAAGTCCCATCTGCTGCTTAAATGTCTTTGAGTCTCCCTAGGGCTTGGAGGTCAGGGTTTGTGGCAGAGGTTCATACCAGTTTTACCTTCATCACCTCAGCTTTTCTGGGGTCTCTTCCCAGCTTTATTGACGGTCAGGCCAAATCATATACCATGTCTATCTCTGTACGCAGTTGGAGGCAAAGAGCAGCACCAGAGTACCCTGACTGCTGAAATCTGCTTTACCCCTTCTGCAGTTTTCAGCGTTGGCCTGCCTGCCTCTCAGGACAAAAGTATCCATGAAACACTTAATCTGCTGGTAAGTTGGGCCTTGCTGCTTCTCCTCTGGTTGCTTAAGGGAGCACCTGATTACAGGAGATATGTGCCTCCACCTATGGGCAGCTCTTGAGCTGAGGCTGAGAGACTCAGGCTAGTGCGTACTTGGTGGTTTGACCAGTCCTTTAGCATGCATGTTTCTCATTATTTAGTGGTACTTGTACTTACCACATTGGAGAGTTTGTGAGAACAAAGTGGGAAAAACAAAAAAAACTCGTGGCTCCCTCAGGAGAGAGTGTCTACATGAAATTCAAGGGCTTTACGTGCTCTTAATTCTCAGTAACATCTTGAAAGACAGGATGGGCCCATCCCCTTGCTATCTGTGGTCTGATATCCTATTTCCAACAGCAGCCAGATGCGGACATTCAGAAGAAAGGCAAGACAGATGGAGCAAAGCGCAGCTCCTTGCAGATTTCAGCCTGGTTCCCTAATGGAGACTTGTGTAAGCTCTTTGCTCTGTCCCACTATAATTGCCCTTCTGTTCTTAAACCCTCCAGTGATGGAGAGCCCACACTGCTTCAGGGAACATCTTCATGTGCCTTTCTCCCAGTAGTACAAATGTTTTCTCCAGCTTTTATCTGAATTACAGGGGATTCCCTCTTCCTCCTGCACTGAGATACTCCATCTCCTATGCAAACAAAATGGAAGAGAAGTTAAGCTGGGGTAACTTGAGTGAGTCATCTCCAGCAGTGTGTCTTTCTCTGCGTATCTGCTATTCTCTTGCTGGTGTCTCATCTCCATTAATATTCTTTCTAAGACTTCTAAGAGGTCCCAGTGCACCAGGTGCTTTGCAAACAGCAGAACTCAGAGCTCATGATCCAGCCTACTATGAAATTAGCAGGGGCCTCTGGGCTTTCTGGATGCTTTCACTCTTACTGGGGCTCATTAGGGGATGTTGGAGCGTGTATGTGGGTGTTTTAATATCTCCTAGGGTTTCTTTTAACACGGTGGACTCCTTTGAACCAGCTATCCAGGGAATATTACTGCACAGCTAGAACTCAGGAGAAAGGGCCCACTGAGGTGACAGGGCTTATTTGGGCCCTTCCCGGACCTGGGGGTGGCATGCCAAGGAGATGTGAAACAGCTAGCCCCAGGGAAACAGCTCTGGCACTACCCAGCCTACCCAGCTAGTGGTGATGGAGAGGCTACAGCCAACTTCTTCTAGTACCTCCACCTTGAGACTGACTTGCTGGTCACAGGCGGACCTGGCTGGGACACCAGGACTGGATTAGGCCATGTGTTTGAGGCGGGGCTGATGTAGCTCACTAGCAGGAGGATGCGGTGGCTCTATCTCCTGCAGGGAAGACACAGACAATTCGGATGTCTGAAGGTGTTGGGGACCCAGGAGACTGTAACAGAGGCCCTCTTGAGTTTACCCTAAAGCAGAGCTTTTCTCTGAGGAAACCAGTATCCCAGAGCCCTGATCTTTCCCTTCTTGCCCTCTTCTTAAGCAGAGATGTAAACCATTTCCAAGGTAAATTTGGCAAACCGAAGAGACTGGCATGAGGTAGCCACTTGTCTTTTCATCAACAGCATTTCCTAGGAGCCACCTCAGTTTCTAGCATTTCCTTTAATAAAACAAAGTCCTCGCCTCTAGCCAGCTGGGCCTGTTCACAGCAGCCCGCGCTGCTTTAATGGAGAACGTGGTTTCTCGGAGGTTACAGTGCTGTTGGGTTCCTCTCTGCACTGGAAAAGGCATTTTGGCCTAAGTCACTGTCCCTAGCGAAGGGGTGAGACTGTGGATAGCCCCTGAATAGCTGCCCCATCACGTTAATGGGCTCATTGAGACAAATTACTTTTTCCCATGGAGCAGAAAGCAAGCCCAGGTTGCAGAAGGAGTGGGAAAGGGACTCGGGACTTTATCTCCCCGGTCGTTTCAGGGAGTTGCTGTTGCCCATCGCGCTTGTGATGAAGCTGCCACGATATCCTCCTTGCTCTTGGGCAAGTCATCGTATCTATCTCCCTGTCTTAGGTCTCCCACTTGTGAAATGCAGCTATTGATCTTTCTGCTCTCCCACCCATGTCCTGCCCAGTTACCATGGGGTGTGGGAGCCACAGCAAGAGGCCAAGTCCTGACCCACAGCAAAGGGCTGAGCTTTCCAGGATGTGCGGGGACGACTTGAACACTCCATGGCTTCTGGCCTGCTTGGGCTCTCCAGGGGTTTCCAGGTGAGCGGGGATGTGGATGAAGAGCAAAGCAGTGGAGGGGGCAGGGGAAGGGTCCCCAGTGTTCAAATGGCTTTCGGTGAACTGCAGAATTTGAGGGCTTTTCTGAGGCAAACTGGAGACGTCTCCTTTGGTCAAGAAGTGTGGACTATAGCGTCCTCCTTGGTTCCCTGCCCTGCTGCTGAGCACTGAGTTTAGAAGTACACATGGTTTGCAGGTAGACTTGTGCACGTCCTTGCATGTCCTGGCACTGGGCAGGCCCTGTCCCACAGGGTACAGCCCTAGGTGACATTGCTAGACCACCTGAGCTAGCCAGCTAGCATCCAGCAATTCAGGAGTGTCCGTCCCACCATCCCCCTACACCTCCAGGTCCGGCTTTCTGCAGACAGCACCAGGCCTACTCTGTCCCCTACTGCTCAAGGCAGGTCAGGTAAATTCCTTGATGGTGTATAGCCATCCTCCTTTTATTTTTCTCATTTAATGTTGTATCCCAGGGTAGGAAAGAT